CTCTGTTAATTGGCAAGAAATATTTTGAACTGACTGTAATTCTCTAGTGCACGAGTAATTTAAATTCTCATTATTATGCTATAATAACTTGTTTCCTTATACTTTATTTCACTTATTATAATGTAATGGAAATTTCCTTCACAGATTTCTTCTTTTCTTTCTTCATGCAGTGAACATTGATGGAAAAGATAAATAAGAAGATTTACAAGCGCCATTCTCAATCACCTTAGGTAGCATTACAGATAGTTAGGTACCATAGTTATTTTTACCGTGAATTATGGTTTTACTTGTTATGCTTTCCATGTCACAGGAGCACAACTTGTTCTTCTGCTAGACCACAAGCTATCCTGCTCAAGTGCACAAGTGCAAGCTTGCCTAGTGCTGCTCAAGTGCTGACAACAGTAAGAGCTTCACTTTTGTCGATCTTCAAGATTCAGTTACAAATGATATAGGCAGCTAATGTGAAAAGTCTCCTAATGTTCGTCTAATTTTCTAATCAAACATTGCATGGCAGCAGTGTTGGCATGAAGATTTGGCTGATTCAAGGAGGTTTCTGGCACTTCAGTAGTCAACATGAAACTACTACTACACCTACTATTCTATTCACTGGAACAACTTCAGATGTTCCTACTGGGTCATTCTCGTTCTCTATGGTCTGCTTGTTGATTGGCAGATCCAGCCAGTGCCATCAAGCAGCTGTGAACCAAGAGCTCCTTCACATTGCACTCATCTACTCCAACAGAGTAGCTGCATGCATCCGGTGGTGCTCACTCTTTTTAAGCACTCATCCTGGATTGCATATGAGGTGAGTGTTACACGTCTGCTCAGGCTCGTTTGTGATGCCAGTTGACATTTGTAAATGCCATTTTTTCTAGTAGAAATATTGGTCAGCCTTTTCCCTCGGACCTTTCTGCAGGCACTATGCCCCAAAGTTGTGCCAAGATTACAATCATCTTCAGAAGGTATCGCTTCGGGACATCATCATTTGGCTTGAAGCTCGGCAAGGCTTCTTGCATCTGTCAGGTTCTTGCCATAAGGATGGCAGGGGGAAACTCAGAGAGCGCACTATTGTAGTTGTAGCAGTGAAGGGATGGATCTATTGCCATTTGAGATGAATCGCATCATTCGACTTTTCCTTTAGACAGCTAATGTTGCTAGCTTGGATAATTTTTCAGTCGAACTTGGTAGTTTAATGGTTGTGCACTGATATGTCTCCGGCCGATTGTATTTTGGCAACTATGCAAGACTAGTTCATGTATCTGAGCTGAGACCGAGACTATTCGTTCTCATCAACAAAGCATAGGACAGCAGTCCCCATCTAAGCTTTTGTGATATATATCCGCCCGATCAGCCCGAGCATGGAACACATGCTGCCTGTGTGTGACATCGCGAATCCGGTGACAGAGACACACGGTGTATACGTCGATTGCGCTGCAACATTATTATTAGTCATTGGGCCCGGACACAGCGTGCCCACGCCGCAAAAAGAAAGTTGATGTACACCTAACACACGAATTTGCAGTTTTGCACCCCTCGATGGATCAACTTAGCATGCATCACGCCATCTCCCTAAATATATTTTTTGAACGCAAATCTCCCTAAATATATATCTCACTGTATTTTTCTACTTGGACGTGTTTTAATTAATCTATATATATACTGGGAATTTTTCAGTACGTAGCATGCCTATGTGTAAATTTAATTAATCCGTCTTTGTTCAAGTATGAAATCACTTCTCCACTAGCCGAAAACTTGAAATTGGGAGAGCGTATATGTATGAAAAGGAGAAGGAAAGGAAAGTAGTTGGACTAAGGAGAGCGTATATGTATGAAAAGGAGAAGGAAAGGACAGTAGTTGGACTAGTTTCATAGGGCACATTCATTTGGTTGGTCTTTGGTCTTTGGTTTGGGTATTTGGTTGGTCTTTGTTTTTTGTGAGAGGAAAAACACTGTTATTGGCTGGTTTGAAATTTGGTTGAAACCAACAAATGAACAGTGATAGTATCTGGATAGGTATCATTTCACACTAGCGGGGTGGTGATAGGTGTCACCTTCTAGGATCCATGGTAGAGATCTTATGAGTAATTTATAGATGAGAATTTTAAGGAATCGCTTTAGGTTATTTTTTGTTAATGACTGAGTTAATTCTTTTATATTTAATATAGTGGCAAAATCCTAAACTAATATGCTACTTTGAGCTAATCTTTTAATAACGAATCAGGTCTTTAGTTTACATGAAAAAATTAGGGTTATTACTTTGGTTTATTTTAATAATAATAAAGGTGAATAATCTAGATGTAGATTCAGGGATATTAAAGTTGTTTCCTATAATTACATCTATAGGTAATTTAGATACACATTTAAGGGATTACTTTAAGTTATTTTGATAATGTCAAATGTGAGTAATTTAGATTAAGTTTTTTTTTCTCCTTTGGCTAAGTTGGTTAGGTGGTTCGAGTACCACTCCTCGGGTCTTGACTTCGACTCCTCGTGGAAGCGGAATTTTAGGCTGGGGTTAAAAAAAATCTCCTCGTCTATCTCACGCCAAAGCACAAGTCTAAGGCCCAGCTCCGGCCGTGGTCGTTCTCACATGGGCTATGGTGCCGCTGTGTGTGGGTGGGCAGGAGTTAGGAGATTTTCTCGACCACGTGAGGTCTTCTTCTTAATGCAATACCAGGGGCTGTCTTACCCAAGGGTCGAGTTTTATAATTTAGATTAAAAAAATAGGAGGTAATTTTAAGTTACTTTGATATAAGATCAAGCAATTTTCAAAGATGTAACATGCCTATGTGTAAATTTAATATGTCTTTGTTCAAGCATATAAATTCATTTCTCCACTAGCCAAAAACATAAATTATAGGGGATTGAGTGTGTATTCCTGTTGTTAGAAAATCCTTGTGTCAAAGGTAATTATACTATATTTGCTAGTTTTTAATGTTACCCATGGGAAAAAAATAGTGAGGTTGGAATTGTTTGTGATATTTTGGCTATTCAGAATTAAGATTGTTGTGTGCCCACGTTTGAGGCTTTAGAAATGACGTAGCATGAGAAGATATTTGTTTTGCGAGCACTGACTGAAGATGTTGAGCTGAGTTTTTTTCTTATGGAAAAACCGAATGTTCTTCCATCCGTTTTAAAGAAAATCATTGTTTCAATACTTCTATAAATCTACAGCAATAATAACAAGGATACATATGCATTGTGTCCTGGTAGCAGATTGCTAACTAGGAATGCATTGTATTGTCCTGATCAGCCAACTAAAGATCAGAAAGTAACATCTATGTTGATCAACTGCACATGTTCAAATATGGGTATCTTGTGATATAACCATAAGTGTTTAGTGGCTTCATAACTTATTATTTACATCACTTGTGTAGAGTATATCCTCTGAAGGTTGAACCCCAATGTGGCCACGGAACGCATATGTAGGCAAAAGTTGTGGTAATGAAGGCAATATTCTGCAACTGCAACAGCCAAAAATGATTATTGTTAAGTACATGCACCTTTGTCTGCTAAGTCCTCAAGTATTAAGTTTTCAACTACAGGTTGCATATTATTTCCTAAGCATGCTGCCAACAGACCTGATGTTCTGGACTCTTGCCTACATCCTTGCACATGGATGTTCTGTATTAAACTAAAAACACCTCAAAGTTCAGCTTGTTGAGCTCGTGGGACCTTCATATGAAAAAACGAATCTGGTAAGTACCTCGAGTATACTAAATTTTGCTTTAGTTCCTTCTTTTTTTTTGTTATGAATTACTCTGAAATGTTTACTTTGATGAAGTGGTGAACACTTAAATCTTTATTGATATTTTTGCCACAAGATGTAATGAGGAAGGTACTGGCAGAAATGGGCAGTGTTTGGTATTCTGAAAACATGTTAAATCAGTTCAAAATGTTGAGACACAATTGAATTATAAATGTTTTCGTGTCAGGCCATCTCAAATGATGCAGATATCAGTCAAGTCATGTTGTTGCTTAGTAAATTACCATGCTGCTCTGAACTGTCCATGATAATAGCATGCATCACTTCAGTATTTTGTAATTGTGTGTAATTTGTTCCCTCTAGTAAATTTGGCTATCCTGGTGAAAAATGAAATTCTACCTTTGGACTCTCTATTTTAGACTATAAAGGAGATTAGGAGATGCACATATCTGACATGATTTGAATTTGCATATAATAAACTGATACTCTGTTAATTGGCAAGTAATATTTTGAACTGACTGTAATTCTCTAGTGCACGAGTAATTTAAATTCTCATTATTATGCTATAATAACTTGTTTCCTTATACTTTATTTCACTTATTATAATGTAATGGAAATTTCCTTCACAAATTTCTTCTTTTCTTTCTTCATGCAGTGAACATTGATGGAAAAGATAAATAAGAAGATTTACAAGCGCCATTCTCAATCACCTTAGGTAGCATTACAGATAGTTAGGTACCATAGTTATGTTTTCTTTAACCGTGAATTATGTTTTTACTTGTTATGCTTTCCATGTCACAGGAGCACAACTTGTTCTTCTGCTAGACCACAAGCTATCCTGCTCAAGTGCACAAGTGCAAGCTTGCCTAGTGCTGCTCAAGTGCTGACAACAGTAAGAGCTTCACTTTTGTCGATCTTCAAGATTCAGTTACAAATGATTCAGTTGGAGATGCATAGATGCCCTCCTCTCCCACTTCATCATTTCCAAAGAGGGCTCCAAGGTTTGCGCTCCCTCCGATCGTTGGAGATCAGTGATTGCCCCAGGTTCCTCTCTTCCTATTCGTCATCCTCCTCTTCTTCGTGTTTCCCCTTCCCACCCTCCCTGGAACACCTCTCTCTTCAAGGCGCGGTGGGCACGCCGTTGCCTCTCTCAAACCTCGCCTCTCTCACAGATTTAACCATATGGAGATGTGGAGTCGAGGGACTACGGCATCTCCTCGCCCATGGTCGTCTCACCAAATTAGCCGTCAACAGAACCCCCTATTTCTTCGCTGGTCCTGAGCCCCCGCTGCCCCATGAATGAGTTCCCATCCTCTTCCTCCAAACTGCAAGTGCTTGAGACGGATGACATCGCGGGCGTCCTTGCCGCGCCCATCTGTACCTTGCTCTCTCCCTCGCTCACCGATTTGAGATTTTGTTGGGACGAAGAGGTGGATCGCTTCACAAAGGAGCAAGAGGACGCCCTTCAGCTCCTCACCTCTCTCGAGATCACATTTTGGTTCTCTGACAAGCTGCAGTGCCTCCCTGCTGGGCTTCATGGACTCCCCAACCTCAAGAGATTAAACATATATAGATGTCAAGCCATCCGATCGCTGCCCAAGGATGGCCTCCCAAGTTCACTGCAAAAATTAAAGATCAATAGCTGCCCAGCCATTCGATCGCTGCCCAAGGCGAATGACCTACCAAGTTCACTCCGAGAATTGGATGTCCGGGATAGCGAAAACAAGGAGCTAAGAAGGCAGTGTCGCAAGTTGATTGGAATCATTCCAGTTGTCTACGCCTGACTCAGCCAAGGTAACAAAGAGGTGGAACTTCCTACCCACCAATTTTGCTTGCATTCGTTAATCCCATAAAAGTCAGTCGTTCTCCTTTTATTTATTTGACTGCAATCATGATTTCCTTCCAAATAACCCACTTGTTTTCACCTACTTTGCAGGGCTCTTTCTCAAATTGTACATTCTTCTAACCTCCGGATTCTCACTGTATCTACACATGATTCTGAGTGTCAAGCATTAACATCTCAGGATGTGCCTAACACCTGTACATAAAAATTGTTAGTATCCTATATGCAAAATACCTTTAGTTCAATACAATATTTACAAGTTTGATCCACGTTTTGTTAATCTTCTGCCTGTTGCTTTTATTATTTGCATGCCTTTTGTTTATAATCGTCATGTAGCTCGAAACCATCTGTATTATAGTTGAGAAAACTATTAACAGAGAGAATTTTCTCACTCACAGAATATTGAAGTGTGAGTTTAGCTATTTTAGAATGCCTCACAGCTGTTGGCCCTTGGAACCACGAGATGGATCTCAGATTTAGATCGGATCTGGGAAAGCCAGAGGGCAGCTTGGCCTTGGCCGCTTGTTGGAATTAGAAATGCAATGGCTTGTTTGTACAATAGCATTGCCCCTGCTTTTATGGGCAAGGGGCAGAGAGCATCTTCTACTTTTCCACTTGCTCAAGCATATCCTAGCCACTAAAGTAGATGCTGAGCATATTCCTAATGCAAAATTAAACTTGCAGAAAAAGTAAGATACAAGTGCTGAGCACTAGGCTTATCTATCATTCTCCCCCTAAGCCTTGTGCCGAGCATTGGAAGTGATCTGATGTAGCCCAATCCTTTCCCTCATCTCTTGGAACTTGGACTTTCCCAGCGACTTGGTGAGGATATCAGCCAGCTGATCAGTGGTGGCAATGTGGCTGGCCTTGATGCTCCCATCCTCCAAACAATCCCTGATGAAGTGGTACTTGATGCGAATGTGCTTGCTTCTTTCATGGAAGACATGATTCTTGGCCAGAGCTAGAGCAGACTTGCTGTCCACCTTCAGCTCAACCACATCCACATTCCTGCCAAGGAGCTCTGCCAGCATCCTTGACAACCATAGTGCCTGAGTTGCTGCAGTAGCCGATGAAGCGCGCTGTTTCGGGGGCCCTGCCGTAGTGAAGGCCATAGTCGAGGGTGCCCGCCACGTAGCGAAGGATGCCGATCGCCTTCGTCACCGTCGCGGTTCTACCGGTACTGCTTCACCTCATCACGGCCATGACTCATCATTGCCCCGCTAGCCTTTCTTCCCCGCCACCACGGTGAGTGTCCCCAGCCTTGCCCTGCCCTCGCCGTCATGGTCACGCCATGGACGTCGCTGTGTTCTCCCCACTTGGGAGGGCCAAAGGCCCCACCTTTAGCCATCGCTGAGCACCGCGCACTCATGTACACGCCTAACGGCCGTAGCGTAGTGACGCCGAACTACCTAGGCTCAGGAACGCTCACGCCGGCGTAACAGCACGCGTTGTGCTCGTCGCTGCCAAAACTTGCGGTGGAGCCTCGTTCCGACGGATCCAGAGCGGTTGAGGTAGGACCCTCACCGCGGTAAGCTTCGCCTTGCCATGGGCCATGCGTAGCCCTAACCACGCTAACTTAGATGCCCTGGAGCCATAGGTCGAGCTTGCGCCGCCGCCACCGTTGTGCGCCCTAGCTCCGCCGTGTCGAAGCCGTTCCGACCAACTTCGGTCGCCTCGCTCGGCGAGGATGGGCTGTCAAGCTTCGCCGTGAATCTATAAATCCCATAGCATAGCTAGTTGGGAGGAAAGCACCCACCTTGACCCCTTCCACCGTAGCCGGCCGCCCGCCGAAGTTCTGTCGTGCGCCTTGCCACAGTGTGGATTCCGCCGTGGCATTTGGTCACTGGTGTTGAGCTTTACGCCTCGCCCATGACTTCAATTGAAGGAAAGGAGCCACCTTTGGGCTCAATTGAGCGCGTGGCCGCCTCGCCATGGTCCACCGCCTTTCGCCGAGCCGCTGCTGTCATGGCCAGCCTCGCCCGAGACCCTAGGGCTTCGCCTAGCACCCTAGCTGCCTTCGCCGGAGCACGAGGAAGTTGTAGGACCCCACCGGAGCCTCACCAGAGCCCCGAGTCGCACCGCCGTCGTCACCACGCCGCCGCGACCCACCGCATCGCTGTTTTCGGCCACCGCAGACCCCAAGTACCCCACTTTTACCCTTTGCTGCACTTGTCGTGACCTCACGATGCCGTAGATGCCTCTCGCTAGTATGATAAGTTGATAAGTTACCATAGCGCGTAGCCGAGCGAGTTCACCGCCGGCAAGAGCATGACTAGGAAGGAGAAAGGAGCCACCGTGCCCCCGTCCAGCCTCGCGTGCACCTGTGCCGCCGTGAACCAGAGAAGGAGGAAGGAGAGGTGGACATAGTTCACCCTGGACCGAGCGAGCGGTCCATGGACCCACGCGTGCACGTCCACCGTGAGCCAGCCCCGTGGGCCAAGGCCTGTTAGGAGCCCAAGAGCGCCACGTGGCCTGTCTATCTGCCTGACACGTGTTCGGGCCGGGCTGGCCCAACCCGACCTAACCTGCCCCGCCGGGCCCAGTCAAGCCCAGTCAACGCTGACCGTTGACCGATCATCGCTGAACGACGACCGGGCCCCACCTGTCCGTGACCGTTGCTGCCTCGCCCAATCAGAGGCTGCCACGTGTCCATTACTATTTAAAAATCCTTTTTTTTCAGAATATGATTTAAACTTAGAAAATTCATAGTAAATTCATCCAACCTCAGAAAAATATGAATCAAGTGTCCAATTTTTTTTTCTAAAAATGAGCTCTGCGTCATAGGCTTATGTTTGAGTGCATTTGGATCTTTTGGATTTCTGTTGTTCCTTGTGAATATCTATAGGATTTGCTTATCGTGACTATATGTCTCGTTTTCAGCCCCGGAGGAGCAGCTGCCTGAGGAGGAGGAGGACTATGACTACTCGGAGGACCTCAGAGACGACCAGTCAATAGGTGCCACATCCCACCCAACCTCATAGAAACCTATTAGGCATGCTATATGTAGTGGCTAGTGCTTTACTTTAATGCAATTGAACTGTGATAGGATGCATGGTAGTTTGCTTGTGAAGCCTCTACCTTGATGCAACCAAACCCCTGCACACCCGCTGTTAGGATAGTCGCTCACTTACTACTTGCTACTTTCTTCTACTCGCATTATATCTGTGATGTGATGCTACGTGAAAGATTGTGTGGATGGATAAGGCACTTGGTGCCGGGATTATGGTAAACAACATGGGAAGATCTTGGCTTGAGTCTTGGGTGTGTGGTGAGGGTTGAGTCAACAGGGCAGGATCCCACGACGAGTCTGTGGACGAGTCTTGCCGGGGGGGGGGGTGTGACCTAGGCATCCCCTGTGTGAGGTACCTGTGGCGGGTACATGTGAGATGAGTAGATCCCGGGGAGGAGTGTCTTCGTGGGACAAATCCCCGGGATGGAGGTGCTGTTATGGCATGAGGTGTTGGTTATCCCCTTTGAGAAGATATCCTATCTGGTTCCCCCTTAAGGACTGGTATGTTGAGAGAACAGGCTCATAGGACCATTCGTGCACACCACTCGTTCCTGATGGGTGGGAAACGGCATGCCGTCTAGCTAGGGCGATGCCACTACTATTAGGTTGGAAGCGGATAGAGTAGGAAGGTACGGGCTGGCGGCCCACACCCTCCTAAGACAGTGTGGTAACCTTGGTGGCTCGGTGCTACGTCTCACAGTCTCAGCGTGACAGTGTGAAAGGACCTATGATGACACCTAGAGGGGGGGTGAATAGGCGTTTCTGAAAATTAACACCTTTAAATATGGAAACAATTAGAAAAGGGAGTTTCCAAAATGAAAACTCTAAATAAAGAGTAGTACCACCCCTCACGAGTTAGCCACAGAGTATACAAGGTATAAACAATTTATCTAGAAGCTATAACCCTGCAACACAAAGTTAGAACAGAGAATGAATAAATTCAGCACAGGCAGGAAATACCGGACGTGTCCGGTATGCACGTGTTCTGTAGAACACCCTGGCACAGTAGTCAATACCAGACGTGTCCGGTATGAATACCGTACGTGTCCGGTATACACGATTTCTGCAGATCAGGCCCGAACTTGCTCCTTTTGATTTCTATCTTCAATCCAAACTGCAGGAACCTACTAGAGATGACAAGAAACACAGATAACCTGCACAATAGCTGGAGCAACACAAATATCAAATGAAATACGAATTGAGACACGATATTTGGTTTACCAAGTTCGGACTCGTTCGAGTCCTACTCTCCGTTGAGGGGGCTGCAGGTCAGTCCTAGAGGGTACCACAAAGGTCACTCTAGCCAGAGTCTTTTCCAACTCCTTTTTCTCCTTCCACTAGTTGATTTCGAGGCGACGGAATCGACCGTTACAAACTTTCCGAGGCACACCACAATCTCTCGGGTGCTCTCCAGCGACGCCTAACCGTCTAGGACCGAAGAGTCCAAGAGTAACAAATGCAAATCACGAGATTGACAATATGCACAAGTGCTCAAGTGGTTGGATTGCTTTCTTTTTGAATTTCACTCAACCCACAAATGGATTTGGCAAATTTGATCAATCACTCACTAAGAGAGGGTTGGGAGAGTTGGCAAGGCTCAAAAACATGTATCTATATCAGCAGAATCAGTAGTCTCAAAAGGTGGAGGCTTGGGGGTATTTATAACGTCCGGTATGCATATCGGACACGTCCGGTATGACTTACACTGCGCCAACGGTAACTAAGTTACAGTAACATTGTGAGGTGTTGGAACTCTCGACGAATGTCAGAACTTCCAACCGTCGAAACTCCCGACCCTCAGCACATTTGAAAATCATGGTAACTGAGTTAAAGTATGTGAGATGTCGGAACTCCCGACGCATGTCGGAACTTTCGACCGTCGGAACTCCTGACTCACGTCGGAACTCCCGACCCTCAAGGCATTTGAAAAC